TGATTTAAAAGTAATGATAATGAATGATTTTAAAGTAAAAATTTCTAAATCTATTCAAAAAGGTTAGCAAAAAGGGGAAAAACGGGAAAAACTTGGAAAAACATTTAAATATCAACAAACAACAATGAAACATTTAAATATCAATAACCTTTTTTGTAATCGGAAAGGTTAAATGAAAAATGAAAAGTTTGAAAAATAAAAAATGAAAATTTTCCGAAGCTACGAAATGATACGACGTAGTACGGTATGGAAACGTCTTAAAAATTCGACGTGCTTCAAAAAGGATGAAATGGTGGTTAATGTCCGACTTTTTCTTTAAAGCCCTCTTTTAACCGCAGGGTCGATGAGGGGCGTGGTCTATTGGTAAAGTTCTCGCTTCGGGTTCGAGGGGTCTCAGGTTCGAGTCCGGGCTGAACCCGAGTGGTCTCAGATTTTTGCAAAACTGACTTAAAAAGTTTAGAGAACAGTTTTAAACGTTTAATTAGCAAATTTTATAGAAAATGATTGTTAGAAAATGATTGTTAAGTATAAAATTGATTGTTTTTTATTTCAAAATGAATCTGGAATGGAAAATTTCGGGAAAATAGCTAAATTTAGAGAAAAATGAAGGAATTTTAAAGAATATTGATTAAATTTTGGTTTAAAAGCTGTAAAAACTATAGAAAACTATAGAAAAGTGTTTAAAATTAGTGCTTACGATGAAGAAAACGTGGTGAAAGTTAGAAATTCAAAGAAATTTGATTATTTTCTTTTATTTTGATTATTTTCTTATTAGCAAACTGTTTTAAAGGGTTAAAAATGTCAAAAATGCCAAAAAAAAATTGTTTTTGGTTGTTGTTTATTTTATTCGCGAAATCGCGAAAAGCGGCGGAAAGGCTATTGATCTGAGGGTCGCTGGCAATTCATTTGCTCAGCGTTTGAGCTTTTGAAGCTTTTGAAATTTTCCCATTTTCCGAAGATGTTTCAAAATCGTGGTGGCAATTCATTGGTGGTGGGAATTCATTTGCTCAGCGAGTTCCCCGACTCGTTTGTCGAGGATCCTCTTCAACCAAATCAGCGAGTTTGTCTTCGTCGATTTCCGATGATCTTTCTGTTCTTGCACTATCGAGAAATGAGAAATTTCCTTGACGAAATCGTTGAAACCAATTCTGGATCGTTCGTTCGGTGACGAAATCGGGTCCATAAACGTCAATAATCTCTCGATGAGCCTGTGCAGCATTGAGTTTTCGGTTGAATGCATACAAAAACAGGTGTCGCTGGTGCCCCTCCGATGAATAAAATTGAGTATGAATCAAAGAATTTCAAAATATTCAATCAATTTGAGAGATTTGAGCAATTTTAAAGTGAATAATAGTGATTTCAATGAGCAAAAGTGAACTTTTACTTCTTTTTTTCCTTTTTTGCCACGTCGCTGAACGGGAAAAGGTCACAGATTCTCACAAAATAACTCTTTTTATCAAAAATTCGTAAACACATCTTTTTTTTGGATTTGAAAACGCATTTGGACTCTCAGTGATGCATCAGATTGATGCGTTTCGATCGAGAAGAAGCCAGAGCGTACTTTGAACTCATTTCTGTTAGCTGCTTCTACTGGCTGCTTCTGTTAGCTGCTTCTGTTAGCTGCTTCTGTTAGCTGCTTCTGTTAGCTGCTTCTCCTAGCTGCTTCTCCTAGCTGCTTCTGTGGCTGCTTCTGTTAGCTGCTTCTGTTAGCTGCTTCTACTGGCTGCTTCTCTTAGCTGCTTCTACTAGCTGCTTCTACTGGCTGCTTCTCCTAGCTGCTTCTCCTAGCTGCTTCTGTGGCTGCTTCTGTTAGCTGCTTCTGTTAGCTGCTTCTACTGGCTGCTTCTCTTAGCTGCTTCTGCTGGCCGCTTCTACTGGCTGCTTCAGCCGGCCGCTCTTACTGGCTGCTTCTACTGGCTGCTGGCTTTCACTTGAAAAGCTTCTTTCAATAATCAATGAATTTTTGGTGTAAAAAGTTAGATAAAAGAAGATTAAATCGTTTTTCTAAAGTAAAGCTAAAGTAAAGCTGACTGGCTAAATAAGGCGGTCAAAAAAGCGTCCAAAAAACGTTCAAAAAAACTGACTTTAGCAAGCATAAAGTACACAAGAGAGTCTGGTATTTGGTTGTTAAAATGTCAGTCGTCGATATGAGATTTAAAAGGAAAAAGGGAAAGGACAAGGCTTTGAAAGAATTGAAAGAGTTGAAAGAGTCGTTTACAGAAAAGAGAACAAAGAAAAGAATGGATTTCGAGAAAACATGAGAAAGAACACAAAAAGTACACTGTAAAGGCACTGTAAAGTCTGAATAAAATCGAATTAAAACATGAATTTGTTTAAAAACGTAAAGATCCAAGAAATTGTATTTTAATGGTAGAAAAGTATTGTAATCTAAATGATCCAAATGATTTAAATGATTTCAATGATTTCAATGATTTAAATGATTTGTATGATTTAAATGATTTTAAATGATCTAAAGGATTCTAAATGATCTCCAAAGTATTTCAAATGATTCAAATGATCTCTAGAAGATCTTCAAATAATCTCCAAAGTATTTCAAATGATTTAAATGATCTAAATGATCTAAATGCTAAAAGCTAAATGCTAAAATGATCTCTAAAAGATTTCCATTGAATATTTCTAAAATAAAACTTCAAAACTAAGCTTAAAGACGGATAGAATCAGCTAAAAAGTGAATAAATTGAATGAAAAAAGAGACAAGATTACAGTAGAAAAGAGCACGATTTAGAAAACGGATTAGAGAAAACAGTTGCCGTAGTTTAAATGAGATTACGATGGCTTAGGGTAGCTTGGGGTAGCTTGGGGTGGCTTAGGGTAGCTTACGATGGCTTAGGGTAGCTTACGATGGCTTAGGGTAGCTTAGGGTGGCTTAGGGTGGCTTATGGAGGCTTAGGGTGGCTTATCGAGGCTTAGGGTAGCTTCCGATGGCTTAGGGTAGCTTATGATGGCTTAGGGTAGCTTAGGGTAGCTTAGGGTAGCTTATGGTAGCTTAGGGTGGCTTAGGGTGGCTTGGGGTAGCTTAGGGTAGCTTAGGGTAGCTTACGATCGCTTACCATAGCTTACGGTAGCTACAATAAGGTGTCACCCTTTTAGAAAACGATAAAAGCTTCATAACAGAAATTCCAAAGAATAGACTAGCCAAAAATCGACTAAAATGTGAAAGTGAACTGATATTTCTCTCTAAAACACCGGCATTTCGTCTAATCCTTTGCGATTTCCCCCATCCAAGCTGTGTCAATTCGCTTTTTGAAAACGAAAATTTGCCATTTATGCCATTTACGCGATTTCCCCCCAAAAAAAGTCATTTTTGAGAACTGTGATCACGAAAAGTAAAGGACTGGCTCATTTTGTGGAAACTGGTCTAAAATTTGCGAGTTTTTCAAATTTTTTTCTTTATTCTGGAATGCAATTTAAGCTTTTTCAATAAAATTTTTTAAAAATTCAAAAAAAAAAAATTTTTTTTTAATTAATTACTCAACTTTCCTTAAATGTCTAAGTGTTAAATATTATTTTTTAAATTGAAGCTTAAAGCTTTTTTTTTATTCATACTTAACTACAGTGATGTCCGTAGTATAGAAAAGTATAGAAAAGAGGTCCATAGTATAGAAAAGTTTCGTTTTTTCGTAAAAATATCTCTTGGATCACGAAAAGTAAAGGACTGGTTGATTTTGTGGAAACTGCTCTAAAATTTGCGAGTTTTCAACGTTTTTTCTTCGTTCTGGAATGCAATTTGAGCTTTTTCAATAAAAGTTTTAAAAAATTCAAAAAAAAAATTTTTTTTTGAATTATTTACCCAACTTTGCTTAAATGTCTAAGTCTTAAATATTATTTTTAAAATTGAAGCTTGAAGCTTTTTTTGTTCATAATGGACTACAGTGAGGTCCATAGTATAGAAAAGTTTCGTTTTTTTCGTAAAAATGTCTCTTGGAAGCGTGATCATTGATCAGAGTTGGGTAATTGATCCAAGAATAGGTAAATAGAGCTTTTTTTTTGAGGGAAAAGCTGGGAAAAGAGAAAGTATTTCGTATTTTTGAGAAAGTAAAGCCAATTTCTGAGATCAAAGAACCAAAAAAGTGAACGAAAAAGCGGTAGTTTTTGAAGATTTTCAAGAAAAAGTTGAATTTTCGAGTTCTAAAGGGAAAAACGAGAATTTCGATAGGAATACGAGGATTTTTTGATTTTTTTGTAAATTCTGGAAGTCACAACAAGTTTTGGCAATAAGATTTTGTTAAGTTTTAAGAAAGAAAAAAAAATTTTTGATTTTAGCTGATTTTCTTTGCTTAATTGGAGAAAAATTCTGTACTAAGCAAAGAAATTTATTTATATTTTTGTTTAATTGGACGAGAGTTGAATACCGTAAATAATGTAACAGTATCTGACCGCGATAATGATGTGCGGAGTGTTACGTAGTCGAGTTTTGACTCTGGTAGAGCTTTGACTCTGGTAGAGCTTTGACTCTGGTCGAGCTTTGACTCTTCTCTCGACTCTGGTTTATGCTACAAGGCGCGCGTAAACGGTAGTTTATTAAATGCTGAGATTTAGGGCTATTTTTTGAGATGAAAGAGGCATTTTTTGGAAGTACAAGCGCTTTGGAAGTACAGGCGGAATACTAAAAAACTTTTGCGATTACGCGACTGTACAAGGGCGATAGTGATTACAGTATTTACGGTATACAGTCGACTCTTGATCTAATGACTAATGATCTAACGACTCTCGATCTAACGACTCTCGATCTAACGATCCTCGATCTAGCGATCTAACGGCTCTCACTCACTTCTATATAAAGATGTTTGATCTAACGATCCTCGAGCTAATGATCCTCGATCTAACGACTCTCGATCTAACGATCTAACGGCCCTTACTTCTATATAACGAGTTTGATCTAACGATATTTGATCTAACGACTCTCGATCTAACGACTACATTTCCGAGTCCTAACAGAGTGAAGAGTTGACTGTATTTCCTTATTTCTTATCACCGACCTAATGCTTGTTGTTGGAGATGCGGGTCGAGTTGTTGCAAGAGTTGTTGAGTGATTTGAAGACCGCCCAATGGCGCTCCAGAGCTTTCCATTTGACTGAAAACAAATCTCAATTCAAATTCTATTTTCAAAACGTAAAAATATACGAAAAGATTTGAAATATTTAAAGAAAAGAAAAGAAAATCTTTTTAAAAAGCGGTTTTTGAAGAATGATTGCTTTAGAAAGTCGCTCAATGGCGCTCGCTTAATGCTCAGATCGCTCAATGGCGCTCGCTCAATGCTCAGATCGCTCAATGCTTAGATCGCTCAATGGCGCTCGCTCAATGCTTAGATCGCTCAATGCTTAGATCGCTCAATGGCGCTCGCTTAATGCTCAGATCGCTCAATGCTTAGATCGCTCAATGGCACTCCAAAGCTTTCCATTTAATTCTAAATCAAATTTCAATTCAAATTCTATCTTCTAGCCTCAAAGAAATCCATAGAAAGATCTAAAATCGAAAGAAAAGATAAGAAAATGATTTTAAAAGAGATTTAAAAGAGATTTAAAAAATCATTTCTTCAGAAAATGATCGTTTAATTTATCTTGCAAACTTTTAACACAAAAAACAAAAGAAAAATGGAATAAAAAAACGATGAATAGCTAGAAAAAGAGCCAGAAAATCGACAGAAAAATCAGAAAAATCTTTCATTTCACAAATTTTTAAGCAAAATTACCCAATCTAGCCAATCTAGAGCATCAAATTTTTCCTAAAAAAAACCCCTTTCAAACTTTTCTAAATGCTTTAAATATGTGCAAAAATTAAATTCCTCGTTTTCCTCTAAACTTAAACTATCTGTCACATTGAATTCTAACGAAAACAGATCATTTCTGTAAGAAAAAAAGAAAAATGAAGATTTCAGTGCACTAGAATTCAGTTCACCGTTTGCTTCAATGCGCTTGCAAGTTTTGAGCACAAAGTATCATCAAAAATTCTCCATTAAATAGTGTGCGTTCCAGAATGAAAACTTTGTTAGATAAGTATAGTAAAAGTGGTCATAGTAGCAGCGCTTTCTTAGAGAACTTCTTCGTGCACTAGAAAGGGTGAGTTTTCATTACCACAAAGTACGTCTAAAACTTATCCATTAAATAGTGTGCGTTCCAGAATGAAAACTTTGTTAGATAAGTATAGTAAAAGTGGTCATAGTAGCAGCGCTTTCTTAGAGAACTTCTTCGTGCACTAGAAAGGGTGAGTTTTCATTACCACAAAGTACGTCTAAAACTTATCCATTAAATAGTGTGCTTTCCAGAATGCAAACTTTGTTAGATAAGTATAGTAAAAGTAGCCATTCTAGCGATGATTTCTTATAGAACTCCTTCCACCAGAAAGGGTGTGTTTCCATTGAGCACAAAGTACCATCAAAACTTATCCATTAGGTAGTGTGCCTTCCAGAATGCAAACTTTGTTAGATAAGTATAGTAAAAGTAGTCTTAATAGCAGTGTTTCCTTAGAGAACTCCGTCGTGCACTAGAAAGGATGTGTTTTCCCGAGAGCAAAATGCTCCCAAAACTTATCCATTATATAGTGTGCCTTCCAGAATGAAAACTTTATTAGATAAGTATTGTAAAAGTAGTTATAGTAACGGCGTTTTCTTTGAAAACTCCTTCGTGCAGAAAGAAAGGATTTCGTTTACACGTGAACAAAATGCCCCAAATTTATTCATTAGTTTAAATGCCTTCCAGAACGGCCATTTTGTTAAATATTTACTGAAAATTCGATATAGAACAACTATTTTCAGGCGTGAATCTAGTTCTCAATAAAAGCAGTCCTATTTTTACCTTTAATCATTTAAATGAGTCTTTTCTTCAGTGAACTGGAGCTCATGCTATCGTTTAGTGAAAGAAAATGGTCGATTACGATTTATTGAATAAAAGTTGGGTATTTATTGACGGAATCTAAATAACTGAATATCTAGATAAGATATTCAGTTATTTCATTTAATAACTGAATATCTTATCTAGATATTTGTTAATTTTAACGTCGATTTGTTATAAAATCGGTTTTGTCTGAGGTTATAAATCCGGTTTGTCTTAGATTATAAATGCGGTTCGTCGTTTATCAACCCCAAAAAACCCTGGGTTTCAGCTAGGGGTATAGCTCAGTGGTAGATGGCTGGGTTTGGACCCGATAGGTCGAGGGTTCAAACCCTGGTAGTGCTAAAGTTTTGTTTTTATTGCAAAAAAAGGATTTTGATGGGGTGAAGGCCATCAAAATACTCTGAAATCTCTAGAAATAAAGAAAAATAATGAAAAGAAAAGAGAGATGAGCGTAATTCTTTTCTCAAATCTCTCAAATCGATTTTTCTGACGTATTTAAGAAAAAAAAATGATGATATTACGAAAGATTATTGCTTTATTAAGTAAAAAAAAAAAGTTTTATTGTTTTTGAGGCTTTTTGCAAACGCATGGGATCTAGTGGATTGGGATTTGGTGTTCTTTAGAGTCTTTATAAATGCAAGGCACTTAGCGCACGGAATTGATTGAAAAGCGTTAAGGTTTTTCAGTTAAACTCGTAGAATAAAGTTAGTTTTTTTTAGCTTTTTGTTTGTCGACTTTTTTTAGAGTTTTTAGAGGAAAGTAGGAATTCAGGAGATTGAAATTTTCTTCTGAAAACAGGGCACAGAAACGCAAGGAAGCTGGTGTACAATATTATATCAAATTTAAAAGCATTTAAAAGCATTTAAATCCGATTTTCTCTTAAACTATTAAAGCTTTTCAAAAGCTAAAAGCTAGATAAAAAGATTTTTTTTGCTTTCTTTTTCATTTAATAAAAGTATTTCCCAGTTTTTTTTCAAATGAATCTCAGCGGATTATCGTTTTTAAAAAAAAGTAAAAGAAGATTTATTTTATAAAAAAAGGAGATTCATTTTGTAGCCAAGAAGGAAATAATCAAAAAAAAATTAAATCAATTAAATCAGAGATCTATTTTAAAGATTATTTTACGAAATTCTCTCTACGAACATTCAAAATTCCATTACTTAAACGGAATTTTGTAAAATTTAGGCTTGGGCTTGGGCTTGGGCTTGGGCTTAGGCTTGGGTTTGGGCTTGGGCTTAGGCTTGGGCTTAGGCTTGGGCTTGGGCTTAGGCTTGGGCTTGGGCTTGGGCTTGGGCTTCGGCTTCGGCTTGGGCTTAGGCTTGAGTAAGACTTGAACAAGGCTTGAGCAAGGGTTGAGCTTGGACTTAGGCTTGAACAAGGCTCGAACAAGGCTCGAACAAGGCTTAAGCAAGGCTTGAACAAGGCTTGAACAAGGCTTGAACAAGGCTTGAACAAGGCTCGAACAATGCTTGAACAAGGCTTAAGCAAGGCTTGAACAAGGTTTGAGCAAGGCTTGAGAAGGCTTGAGCTTGGGCTCAGGCTTGGACTTAGGCTTAGACTCTAATTTGCCCAAATTAGTCCAATTTTCCTGGTTAACCCTCCAATTGCAATCCAGCAATCCAGTTTAAGCAATTCTGCTCACTATTTGTTGACCTATTATAGTCTAACTCATTTTTTGAGCTTCCTAAAAGCTTTTTGTGCTAAAAAATCTTTCTAAATTCTAGCCAACTCTGGTTATTATAAGGGTGAAGTCAGTGAGCTTAAAGTGAAAGAAAATCTGTTTTTTTTTATCGGGAAAACAGAATCGACTTGAAAAGCTAAACGAAAACAGATAAATGATCAAATTTAAGAGTCAATTCTATAAAAAAATTCTAAAATCATCTGATTCGTTAAAGCAGAAATTTCCTTAGAATGTAGGTTTGCAAAAAATTTGAAAATTTGATTCTTTTTCGAGTTGACGTGCAAAGAACGGCTTTGAATCCGATTAGTGATCCGTTTTTTTGATTTTATCTCAAAAAATTCTTCGCAAATTTTTCGCAAAACCGATAAAGCATCAAGTAAACTGAAGAAAAAATTATGAAAATTGTAAAATTTAAAAAAAAAAGAAAAGTTTTTGAGCCTAAGCCTAAGCCTTGCTCAGGCCTTGTTCAAGCCTTATTCAAGCCTTGTTCAAGCCTGGCTCAAACCTGGCTCAAGCCTTGCTCAAGCCCAAGCCTTGTTCAAGCCTTGTTCAAGCCCAAGCCTTGCTCAAGCCTGGCTCAAACCTGGCTCAAGCCTTGCCCAAGCCCAAGCCTTGTCCAAGCCTTGTCCAAACCTTGCCCAAGCCCAAGCCTTGCTCAAACCTTGCTCAAGCCTTACGGTAAATTCCTTGATCAGTCATTCGCCGAATTCTAGGTGATTAGCCGATGGAAAACGTCATCGTTTTCCATACACATGGAAAACTATGACGTCATCGTCATACACAACTCTAAACTCTCGCGTTTAAGCAATCAAAATTGACAAAATTTTTTTTTTTTTTATGTGTTTGAACTTCTTTTCTATTGTTTAAATAGAAAAGTTTTTGAAAAAAAAAAAAAAAAAAAAAGTTTTGAATGAATAAAAATGGGTTTATTTTCTTTTCTAATTAATCAAAACAATTCAAAATTTTTTTTAAAAAATCTCTAAAAATCGTTATTTATTAGGTTTTTAGTTTGAAAAATTTTTTTTTTTTCAAATTTTAATTATAATCATAAAGTTTAGGGGGTTTTAAGAAGAGAAATTTGTTGAAAAAAAAAAAATATTTTTAAACACCAAACTAGAAACAACTGAGTCAATCTCTATTTTGACGCAAAGAAAAAAAAAAATTAAATTAATTATTTAAAAATACCGACTGGGGCTACCAGTGGTGAATTTATCGCATACACGAAATATATCAATCACAATAAAACGACACACACAATACTAGGCTATAGCTTAACTTAACCCACGTCATGACAGACGGCTCCCTAACCCTAAGCTCAATGGGGAACTAAATAGCTTTTTTGGTGGTGAAGGGAAGATGACGATGAAGGAGTGGCTTGTCACTTTAAAGAACTGGGGCCACAACCACCAGACTGCCCTCCAGAAAACCTCTCAACCCGAAGGGAAAGGAAATCCAAAGGGGGTGACCATGTCGCGTGTGGGGTTCGAACCCTCGACCTTCCGATTAAGATAAAAAACACTTAACCAGTCAGCCACACGTGCCTATTCAAAAAAAAAAAACGCTATGCCTAGACTGCTCGATTGAACTTTTTTTTTTTTTTTTTTATTGCTTAAACGCGAGAATTTAGAGTTGTGTATGAGCATAACGTCATGGTTTTTCATTTGTATGGAAAATAATGACGTTTTCCCCTCGGTTAATCACCTAGAATTCGGCTAATGATCTAGAATTCGGCTAATCACCTAGAATTCGACGAATGACTGTAAGAATGACTGAAAGAATGCAAATTCTATAATAATAAGTGAATAAGAATGCGGTAACATTGTTATTAAATAAATGAAAATTTCAGAGAAAGCAACTCAAAACTTTTGTTTACTAACCAAGGATCAAACTAGATTCAGAGAAAAACTTGAATCATTCACTCATTTGATCAATAGTCAAATGAGTGAATGTCAAATTGATCAAATGAGTGAATGATTCAAAAAAAATAATGAAAAAACGATTAGAAAGAAGGTAGAAAGAAGGTAGAACAAGGTAGAACAAGGTAGAACAAAGTTAAACAAGGTAGAACAAAGTTAAACAAGGTAGAACAAGGTAAAACATGGTTGAACATGGTTAAACATGGTTAAACATGGTTAAACAAGGTAGAACAAGGTAGAACAAGGTTAAACAGTCTACCCAATGCTCTTTCTTTTGCTCGGGATCAAACTAGACTCATTGTCAACAGAAATTTGTATTGATTACATGAAAGTCGAGGTTATTCAAAATAAGGAAGAAGAAAGGGATGATTTGATAAAAAAAAAATGAAGCAACGTGATACTCTATCACATAAACATCGAACGAGAAACGGGGAAACGGATTTTAAAAGAAAAAGGAAGAGAAAAGGAAAGGGGGAAACTGAGGAAAGAGATTGAGGAAAAGAATATTGGGATAAGTGGGAGAGGTTGTACTGAAAAGGTCGAGAAGATGGTTTGAGATAGGTGAGTTGAGAAGAGAATGGGGAAGTGGAGAAGAAAGAGAACTTGGTTTTGCAGAAGTAGAGAAGAAGAAGGGTTGAAGAAGAGAGATGCTGAAAAGAGGCTGGCTAGGGTATAGGTGAGCTGAGAAACGGGAAAAGGGATGGGGGGAAATGAAGGGGAGCAGCAAAAAAAAATCGATATACCGGCCCCGGTTGTGCGTTGGGCGGAGGGAAGGCTGACTAGGAAAGAGGGAGAAAAAAAATCGTGAAAAAGAGAGTGCGGGATCTTCGATTTAGGCTCTCTGTGTGGCTCTGCTGCCCCGGCTGACTAGGTTTCCCGAAAAAAAAAGAGGAATTTTCGAAAAGGAACGGATTGGGAAAGAAGACGGAACTTTGAACTGGTGGGGGATTTTGGGGAAATGATCCAAAAAAACGAGCGAACTTTTTAACTACCCTAAACAGAGAAGCCAATCAATCCAGAATTCTTTTTCGCGCCCCAGCTACAGTACCCCAAATTTGCGAGAGTTTCGGAAGAGGTGTTTTCAATTGATTTTTACCCGATTTTCGATGTGATTCCATTTTTTTGTTGTCTACGAGTTGAGAAATCCGATAAAATTGATAAAATTGATAAAATTGGTCTAGAGATGAGCTAGATGAGCTCCAAGAGAATTTTACAAAGAATTATTGATGTTTAGTTATTTGGACGGATTAGAGAAGGTGACTAACGAGAGAAAAAGGCACTGTGATATCCAAATTTTGTTAGAGGCAGAAAAGAAAGAAGAAAAGAGACAGACAAGAGACAAAAAAGCGGGCAGAACACGAAACGCTTGATCAATTTTTTTTTTGCAGAAAACGGGGGGGGAAGAGCTTTTTGGTTCAATAGAACTTAGTCTTTTCTTTTCGAAAATGTGACTACATGGTCACAAAATGGAAGAGAGGGGAAAAGAATGAAAAGGAGAAGTGAGAGAAGAGAACAAAATGTGAAAAAGGGCCAAAAGAGCTAAAAGAGCTAAAAGATTGGGTAAAAAGAACGAAAAAGACTTCAAAGAACATGCAATTTCTCTTCCCTTTTCCCTTCTTTTTCTCTTTTTCCCATTCCGTTGCCCATTTCGCTGAACGTTCTTTGCTGTTTGAGCACAATTTCGATGGGGTCTCGTGAGGGAAGTGAAGGGAGAAGGGGAAAGATAAGAAGAGGTTTAGAATGGAAAAGGGGGAAACTGGAGTGAGGAGAGATTTCTGTGTTAGAGTGGAGAGGTTTAAGCGGAAAAGGGGTGGGGGAGGACTCAAGAAGAGATTTTCCTTAAGAGAGCATTGTTAGAGTGAAGAGGTTTAGGTGGAAAGAGAAATAGGTCAGAGAGGAGCTTTTTATATGGAGACAAGTTTAAAGAGCAGAGGCCCAAATGGCAAAATGGAAAAAGGGAAGAGAGAGATTCGTCTCGGAAGAGTTGAGGTGTCTGGTAGAGATAGAGAAGAAAGATATCGAAAAGCGAGTTCTTTGAAAAGGTATGAAGAATGGATTTGTTCGTATTGAGAGAAGAGATTTAGAATGGGATACAAGGTGAGAGATTTGTCTGAAAAAACGATGAACAGACATTTGCCTTGGACAGATTTTGAGTGAAAATCTATGGAGAAGAGATTTCTCTGTATTATAGTTGATCATGAAGAGACTTGGCTGAAGGGAGAAAAGATAAGGCAACTTTTTCTGTATAGATTTAGAGTGAAGATGTTTAGAAGGAAAAGATATCTGAAGAAATTTGTCTCGAAATGAGCAGAGGACTGAGAGAGATCAGAGAGGAAAAAGTGAAGAGATTTAGAGAAGGAAAAGTTGAATTGTCTGGATAGGTGCTAAGAAAATGAAAAAGATAAGAGAGATCAAGATGGAAATGGAAAAGTTTGAGAGATTCGTGCCAGGAAATTGATAAAGCAAGTTCCGGTGGAAGAGATTTAGAATTGAAAGGCGGAAAGCGATAAGAGACTTGTCTCAACAGTGCTGTAGAGATATGATTAGAATTACTGTTTGCACTTTCGTCAGGAATCTCACCGATACAGCTCCGTCTTATCGCAAACATATCTCCCGGCACTGTTCACTCCCCAGTTTTCAGCCTCCCAATGCGTTGATCAAGGTAGATTTGCCGGCTCTTTGCCGCCAGCAAAAACCGATATTGAGTCGATTCTGAATAATGAAACCCGCAAAAATTTTATGCATCACACGATTGATTCCTCTTGGAGCCGTTGTAGAAATTGCAAAATAAAAAAAAACAAGCTAAAAATCAGAGCAACACAACAGTAAAAAAAGTAAAAATGATCATTTAGAGATAATTCGACAAAATATAAAAACAGTATGAGTAATGAGCAAACCAACGTTTGAATCACAATCAATTAGTAGTCGTTAAAGTATTCGATGATCAGCTTTCCTTGGCCTTTCACGATCTCTGTCCCGTTCCAGAAGACACGAATCTAAATACGTTAAGTAACAGCTTCATTCAAGCATTACACTACAATACTGTAAATCCTCTGCAAATCTATTTTCGGTAGCCGGCAAAAGTCCGGGACTCTAATAGAGGATTTACCGTATCTACCTTTTTAGCTTTCCTTTCGTTGATGAATTGAGCAATACAATAGGGAGAGCCACTATTTTCATCACGTAGGAGACGGATATCCGGCCTAAAAATACAAAATGACAACTTGTTGACAAGCACAAACCTTCCATGCCAAATGACGAGCATTTTATCCGTGCCGAGAATATTCTGAATCACATCTTTGACGGAAAACCCCGGTGGAAGATTTGAGAATTTCAGATGATGTCTGGCTCTCTAAAATAAAGATTTAAATAGCTTTATACTTTTGAGACCTTCATGGGAGATGAAGCAACCGTTTCTCGTTGTTCAACCAAATTCAGGTGTTGTGCGGAGAGGAATTTGCTGAAAAAGGGACGATGACATTCGTACGCATAAGTTATGAGGTTTTATAAAGACTTTAGGACTTTTAAAAGTTTTTAGCCTTACCCATGCACAAGCTCAGCCAACGGACCATTCTTCACATTCCGACTTTGCTGAACCATTGTAGCGTCCTGAAAAAAATACTTTGCTATAGCTAATCAAACACAAACCCGAGGCACATGATTATGTTTCGGATTATTCAACTTTACCTGTGATCCAAATTGATTTGCGGGAATGTTGGATACGAGATTTTGGACAGAGGACGAGTATCTAAAAATTTCAAACTTATGTAAGCAAAGATAAAAACTACCGCCGAGAAGGATCTTGTAGTCCGACCGTGTCCACCTGTTGTGAAGAGACCCATCTCCTGAAACAAAATTACTGAAGTTTACGGTTTAAAAACTTGTACGTTTGTCCAGCCGGCGTGTAGCCATAGAAGTGATCCAAATTGATTTGCGGGAATGTTGGATCCGAGATTGAGGTCAGAGTGGACAGAACACGATTGTACCGATGTGGTTGACCTTGCAGAATTTGCTAAAAGCGAATTGTGAATGATATCGTATCATAGAATCAAATCATCTAAAAAATCTAAAAATTTCAAACTTATATAAGAAAAGATAAAAACTAGAAGAAAATCGCCGAGAAGAATCTTGTAGTCCGACCCGTCTTCAGCTGTTGTGAAGAGACCCATATAAAACAACTAGAGCTTTACTTTACCTGTTTCCAGAACTCTTCCCGTGCTAATTCTCCCTGGGCCACCAACAAAATTTGCTTGATAGCACTTTCATGTCGTTGAATGTCTGCATCCCAGATCTAAAAAGATAATCTTGATGTGATGAGAAAAATAAGATTTGATTTACTTGGCCAAGAGTCAAATCTTGCAGATTCCAATTGACGTGAAGTTCTTTCATCAACAAACGCCAATGCCTTTCTTTCAGCGCCTCCGACTTCAACTCCGTGATTAACATGTTCATCTAAATATGCCAATCATAAATTTTACACGCATTAGCCCACCTTCGAGTAATTTTGCATCAACTCCTTGGCACTTTCGTAGCTCTTGTAGGTCTTGTATTTGACGGGAAGTCCTTTGAGCTTTTGTGACAACTCGTCAAGGCTTTCTCGGAGTTTTCTTGGCTGCACACTCAACCAGGTCTTGTCCTTCATTTCGTCGACTTTAGTGTACAACGGTTTCAAGGCCTAAATTCCAGATTTGGCGCTGTCTAATTCAAAGAAGCTTACCTCCCATACGCCCTTGAGGTCGTTCAGCTCTTCTAAGGCGACAACAAGTCGATCAGCTTCCGCCGGCACACCAGTGTTCTCTGTCATGTCCAAAGCCAAACGTGCCTAAATCAAGATTTCATATTTTTACTCCTCTAGTTTTGTACCTTTTTCATCTTTTCGCGGTCTTCCTGTAATTTCCCCATCCGTTGCTCAAAATTGGTGAGTAGAGTCAACGCATCGGCTGGTCTTTGTCCACCTTCAATTGGCCGTGATCGTTCCCAATCTTGCAACGTTTCAACCGTCCGCTTCTCGACAAGCTCATCTTCCTCCTTGATTTTGCTTTGCAGATTGGCAACCTGAAGACTTTCATAAACTCAGACACCACTAATCACAATAACCTGATTTTGGATAGACGAGTCCTTGCGCATCAAAATGTCTTGCAGAGCACCCCATTCACCGTCAACATGTTGGCTGAGCAATCGTTGAGCGTTCCGGAACTGATCGACCTATAAAGAGTTCCTTAAAACCAATGACATGTTCAAACTGACATGTTCTTGTCCAGATTTCGTCTGTTTCTTGAGCATTTGCACGTAGGTGATCAATTGAACGGCGTCATTCGTTGACCCGGAGTCGACACTCTGATTCTCTAATTCGCCGCGCCACTTCGAGATGTTTCCGAAGAATGTTTGCATTTCTTGTCCTAAAATTTAAAAGTTCAAGCACCATAAAGAAAAGTGTCCTACCCAGAACGTTTCCGAACTTCTGCAGAACCTCCTTGTGCCAATAGTCGTACTTGAGTGTGACCTTGCTTTGCACCTTCACATAATCGATGATCACGGGGAAGATTCTCTTTTGAGTTTCCTAAAATAGTTCGAATCTCGACAAGCGTCTTCATCCACTTTGGTAAATCGCTGCCAAGTGCATCGTAGAGCACCTCAGCTTGAAGATCCCAGAGTGCTTGATAACGGAGCCATTCACCGACGTAGTCTTCCACCTAAATACAATTTTGCAAACTCTTCAATAAACTTGATACTTTTTTCATGATTGCATCAACTGTCGAATACGCCAACTCAAGAACGCTTAGTCCTCCAGGCAAAGCTGACAACACATCTTTGTACGTCTTCTCCAAGGTGTCAGAATTCATCGCCAACTAAATTTCTTTCCTGAACTATCAAAGAAATAGGTCTAACCTGGAAGCGAGTGCTCGAGACTCTCGGTTGCAAAGTGACAATCGATTGCCAGTCGAAAAGTTGTTCCAAAAGGCGGGCTCGTGCTTGTTCAATCGATGGCGATACGTAGATTGTTTGTGCTGTCAATCGAATCTAAAAATTAACTGTAAACACAACAATAACGAATGAGTAACCTCAATGCAAACCGGCTGCACATGTGGAAGTTGAATGTTTTGCTCTTTGTAGTCATCGATTTCTTCCGATTCGCTGTAAACCAAAGCCCACAAACGAATGGCCTCTTGCGCACGTTTTCCGAGCTTTGCTTCAATTTAAAAAAACACAATTCAAATAAAAATAAATGGCTATCCAACGTTTTTTTCCAGATCGCCGACCCATTTTTTTAAGTTCGAGTAGCTGCCAAGGAGAAGCATATCGACGTTTTCTTGAATCATCTTTAGTTGTTTGGCGATCTAAATGCGCAAGTTGATAATGAACCAAAAAGCCAAAGCCGAGTACCGTTTCATTTGTGTAAGGGCAAGAGTCAAGAGCGGCGAGTGCTCCATCAATCTTCGTGATGATGTCCATCAATTCCTCGCACTTCTCGCTGTATTTGTTGACCGCTTGATGAATCTTGGTGACGTATGGCTCGAGCTTGTATGACTCCCACGAAAGTTGAGCACCCTAAAATCAAGAACTAAATTTGCTAACATTAATGGCACCAACCTCAAGTAGAATCGATTGAACTTCTTTTCTTGAAGAGGCGATGAGCAACTCTAAGTCCTTTCTTTCTGCAAGCTGGGTCTCCACAGTAGAATGTTCGAATCGACTCGTTCAAAACAACCGCATAACTAAATAAATTCATTAGAGTTAAACCTAAGCAAACTAACGGATTGATTTGGTAAGCTTGATGTGCTGCATTGACAATCTTTATGTTCACTCGTTGCAATATGTTCTTCAAGAAGAGGACCTCTTTGTGCAATTGGATCATGCCTCACGGAAGCTCACCTAAAGCGAATAGGTTTTTGTTAAGCCGTTGAGTGAGTACCTTTAGAATTGACAATGGTTTTCCATCCTTGCTTCGCTTCTCCACCAAGAACAAGCGTGCCGATGCGGAAATGGTTTTCTCGTGCATTTGCTTGATCCATTCGTCGAGCATCGGTTGGACATCAAGCTTCTTGCCGAAATTGTCGCTTTCTTTCTTCAGTTGTTGGCCTGCAATGAAAATAGATTAATAGTTGGACATGAAATTTGTACCTTCAACGTGATTTTCCCATCCCTTGCCAAGAACATATTCCACTTTCTTCATCAAATCGTTTAGCTTGTTCTCGATGTTCCGCACAAAGGTGATACGAGCGGAGAGCGGTTGAATGTCGAAAAGAGAAGTCAATTGATCGTGATGGCGTTGATCGTTTTTCTTCTAAAGCAGAAAACATTAAAATCAAGAAATGACAAAGTACCGCTGCAAAGATCTCCTGCAACTCGGTGATGCTTTCCTTGACCTTGTCGATCAATTGAGTCTGATATGCTCGAATAGCACCTCTGAAATGAAATTATTGCAAAACACACACCAACTCTCACCGAATATGTGGACGGACGAACAAAGCGTTGTAGCGGGAGAAGATGGAGAACATTTCTTTTGCGTTCTTTGCTGCTCCAAGTTGGTCTCGAAGACAAGCAGTGATGTCGTTCTCCACGCGTTTAACTTGTTCCTCGTATCTATTTCGGGCAGCATCCCACGAAGCGTTCCCTTCAGGCGAAACATCCAAGCAGTCAGCTTCTTTGACGTAATCGTACGCTCGATCGATCTAAAAACTCTCATAATCAAAGAAAAAGCTAAACAAACCAGCTCAATTGCCGTCGAATCTTTCAATTCGAGAGCCGCACTTTTCCCCTGTAGAAGTCCTTCGCTCAACTTTTGTCGTCGGCAGAGCACTCTCTCAATGACCGAACGGAATTGATCGTGTTGTCTGCATAAAATGAATTTAAGGTAAGAAATTCTAGGATACCTTCGGAAAAAAAAAATATTCGTCATTCGACGCTCGAACTTCTTATGCACCGGGTTGGTCTTGAAGGAAAGCTTCGTGTTCTCGTCTCGTTTCTTCTTCGACAAATCACGCAGCAAGTAAAGCAATCTAAAAATTAATTCATATTAGAAAAGGCATGCGTAAAAACCGATCATATTCATCGTCCCATTTGGCGAACACTTCAAACACCTCCTTGATAATGTGGTCAAACTCCTTGATCGAGATATGCATTAATCGTCTTGTACTCAATATCTAAAATCAACCAGTGAATATTTCAATATCCAATCCTTACCTTGATCATCTGTGTGTTCAAATCCCGGGAGATCGCTTCCAGAAAACGAAGGGCCCGTCCAATTGGATACTTTGTTGATCGAAGCTTCTTGAGATGAGTGAAAACATTTCCAATAGCCTCACGGAGGGCTAAACAAAACATTACTTTAACGATACCACATTACTAACCAATAAGATCCGTAGCCGAGACGATTTCATTCAATGGCATCTCCTTCATCAAAAGGTTGCAATCAGTAACTTGTGCAATAGCTGGCTTCAATCCTGTAAAAAAGTATTTAGTGTTTAATAAAGACAACTCAACCTGTGTCCGAGTCGAATGAGACCAATGCGTAAAATCGTTTTCCGGCTTTCAACGCCTCCAAAGTGAATTGCACCTCATCGCTTTCACGCTTTTGCTGAATCTTCTGCAAAGCTCGTTCCAAGTTCAGCCAGAAGTTCATCTCTTGAAGTGAAGAGCCGGAAGCAGGATCACGTTCCAACTTCGTCACCTAAAAAAATATTTAAGAAAGTGTGAAGCAGGACTACCTTTTGAATCTCTTTGATCCAACGACCGACACCACTTTGTAGAGCATTCAAGAAGTCGGTGTCCTCAATCAAATTTCCGAGGTCCTCAATCTAAAACAAATCATTATCAAACACCAAAGCTAACTACAAACCTTTGCACGTCGTCCCTGATCAATCGCCAGTTGGATGGCCTGTTGAATGTGCGGATTAATGATGAGGTTGATCTCCGGGATGTCGATGTTTTGTTGCAAATGGAGAAGTGCGACTTCGGCCTCGTTGAGATTCTTCTCGACTGCTGGCGCCAACTTGTCACCGTCTCGATCTCCACGGCCACTTTCTCGGATGAACGACTTGAAGTATGGAGTAACGGCTTTTCCGATGATTGCCCATAAAGTTTCGTAGGGGCTTCCGTCGCTCAGCCTAAAATAAACAGATTAGTAAGTTCAAATGATTACTTCTTACAAATTACAGGCTTTTGACTCTATCACCCCACTAAATATTTCAAAATCACTTACACAAGCACTTGCGTTTGATCCGAAATCGGCTTCTCGGCCTCGATCACCGTCCCTCGTCGAATATAGATGATGGATGTACTTCGTTCGTTTCGAAAAAGGACAACGTTTCGCACCGAGAACATCACACTGTCTTCTCCTTGCTCGCTTTCACCCTCCGCATCAGTGACTTCTAAATGAAAAGAATTGTTAGATCATACTTTAATCATCTACATCCATATTTTCCTAGCTGAATAGCTTAAATTTACTTCTAGCATGGGTGCCTAGGCAAAAAACTATGCAAAACATAACTGTACCATTTACTTTTTCACGAAAGTAAGTTCTTTAGCTTAAAATTTACACTCCAAAGCTTTACTAGAACTTCAAAAGTAACAAACCTTTGTAGAAAGAACGCTCAATGACAAGTACATTCGTCTTGGCGTCGGCGATGAAACGATCAATTGCGTCCGAAGCCTGCAGAATCATCGATAACTCATCGTGTCCTTTTTTGGCCCCGAAAAGCGGTGCCGCTGTGGATTGTATGTACTCGACGAGATCTTCCCGCTTCACCGTAGTCACCTAAAGACAGAAATTAACTTGAAACGTTATTGAAAAGCTTACATTCAACGGTGGTTGCATCGCCGCCGACGATTCATTGCCACTATCCATGAATCTTTCTGAAAGAAAAGTGTAATCAACGTTTACGAAAGGAAAACAAAAGAAAAACGACTGGAATCTTGTACGCAGAAGCAAAATTGGACCAGTTAGAGCTAAGGACCAACATGGAATCGATACTTGGAAGTGTTAAGAGCAAATCTGAATCGTTTTAGCACTGATTTTACGAAAACAAGCGGATCAGGGCCAGGTGAAACAGCCAGTAAACCTATTTGATTCATCAATTTGGGTAAAAACTCATTTGTAAAGCCAAGTACAAGCAAAAAGCTGTCAAAAAGCAAAAAGCTGAATGGAAAAAAGGCAAAGAAAATGCGATGGTTCAGGTTCGAACTCTTGACCCTCAGCTTGCTGTACAAGCCCTTAACCACATCGGAAAAAGCCCAATCATCTTGTTAGTTACTTAATTCTCAAAGCTTTCGATTCTAGCTCATTCTGGAAGCATTTTCGGTTCAGTTAGCTTTGAAATCAATCGAAAAATATTATCGAAAAGATTTAGTTAAACAATGATTGGTTTTTTCCCTGCTTTGATTCCACTGTCGATCAGACTTGCTTTTGGAAACACAAACACAAAATCACTTTTTTAAACAGTAATCTATTATATCGCATTTAGAGAAGGAAAGGTTGAATTGTCTGGATAGGGAAAATGAAAAAGATAAGAGATCAAGATGGAAATGGAAACGTTTGAGAGATTCGTGCCAGGAAATTGATAAAGCAAGCTCCGGTGGAAGAGATTTAGAATTGAAAGGCGGAAAGCGATAAGAGATTTGTCTCTACAGTGCTGTAGAGATATGATTAGAATTACTGTTTGCACTTTCATCAGGAATCTCACCGAAACAGCTCCATCTTATCGCAAACATATCTCCCAGCACTGTTCACTCCCCCGTTTTCAGCCTCCCCATGCGTTGATCAAGGTAGATCGACCGGCTCTTTGCCGCCAGCAAAAACCGATATTGAGTCGATTCTGAACCCGCAAAATTTTTATTCATCACACAATTGATTCCTCTTGTGTGATGTTGTGTGATTGATTCCGTTGTGGAAATTGCAAAATAAAAAAGTCAAGCTAAAAATCAGAGCAACACAACAGTAAAAATGATCATTTAGAGAAAATTCGACAAAATATCACAACAACAAAATATCAATTCGACAAAACAGTATCAGTAATGAGTAAACAACGTTTGAATCACAATCAATTAGTAATCGTTAAAGTATTCGACGATCAGCTTTCCTTGGCCTTTCACGATCTCTGTCCCATTCCAGAAGAGACGAATCTAAATACGTTAAGTAATAGCTTCATTCAAGCATTACACTACAATACTGTAAATCCTCTGTAAATCTATTTTCGGTAGCCGGCAAAAGTGCGGCACTATAATAGAGGATTTACCATATCTATTGGGTTGGGGAGAATGAGTCGGCGCCGAAATTTAAAGAAACTTTTTGCACCCATAAAACCTTCCTTAAATACACGTTTTGTTTCATCAAAATGGTCCACTATTTCTTTACAAAATGGCTTTTGAGAGATTCCACAAAGCTTTTCTTTTTTGGGATTTTATGGATTCCCAAACACAGCTAATCAAAATGACAAAAAGTCCGACTCATTGCTTGAACAGTTTCTTCCACATAAACCTCCTTTGGTGTTTATATAAAAAAGATAGAGCACACTCAATTACATAAGTTACCAAATTTTCAGGAAGATCCCTCCAACCATTTACTCTAGATGACAGTTTATCGATTTTGTGAAAAAATGATCCTTTGTGGAGTTGAGGCGCTGTTTGAGTTCTCTTTTAAATATTATTTTGTAGAGAATTAGTTACCCTTCTACGGATATCAAACGCATATCATTTGACAAAGTCTGCTATAAGTTTTAGAAATTTCTTTGATTTTCGGCGCCGACTCATTCTCCCCAACCCAATACCTTTTCAGCCTCCATTTCGTTGATGAATTGAGCAATACAATAGGGAGAGCCACTATTTTTATCACGTAGGAGACGGATATCCGGCCTAAAAATACAAAATGACAACTTGTTGACAAGCACAAACCTTCCATGCCAAATGACGAGCATTTTATCCGTGCCGAGAATATTCTGAATCACATCTTTGACGGAAAACCCCAGTGGAAGATTTGAGAATTTCAGATGAAGTCTGGCTCTCTAAAATAAAGATTTAAATAGCTTTATACTTTTGAGACCTTCATGGGAGATGGAGCAACCGTTTCTCGTTGTCCAACCAAATTCAGGTGTTGTGCGGAGAGGAATTTGCTGAAAAGGGGACGATGACATTCGTACGCATAATTTAGGAGGTTTTATAAAGACTTCAGGACTTTTAAAAGTTTTTAGCCTTACCCATGCACAAGCCCAGCCAACGGACCATTCTTCACATTCCGACCTTGCTGAACCATCGTAATGTTCTGAAAAAAATACCTTGCTAAAGCTAATCAAACACAAACCCGAGGCACATGATTATGTTTCGGATTGTTCAACTTTGTCTGTGATCCAAACTGATTTCCGGGAATGTTGGATACGAGATTTTGGACAGAACACGAGTATCTAAAAATTTCAAACTTATGTAAGCAAGGAGAAAAACTACCGCCGAGAAGAATCTTGTAGTCCGACCGTGTTCACCTGTTGTGAAGAGACCCATCTCCTAAAACAAAATTACTGAAGTTTAGGGTTTAACAACTTGTACATCTGTTCAGCCGGCGTGTAGCCATAGATAAATCCATCTTGTTGAGTTTGCTGAATTTGCTAAAAGTGAATTGTGAATGATATCATAGAATCAAATCAACCTGCGCCCAATGGAACATCTCGGGAGATCTGAACACTTCTTGTTGATAAAATTGAGGCGGCTGATTGTCGAGATTGAGATTGAGATTCTGGCCGGAGCACGAGCTTCTAAAATTCTGCTCAATAAAGACATGAACAAAAGGTGAATTACCGTCGATCCCAATACGTTTGATCGGTGTGACAATTTAGCGCATTATTTGAATTTCGTGTATGCATGATTCAGATCTGAATCAAACTTGCATTATCATTAAAGTTAAACAAAATCGACAGCTCTCAAGAAATCTGAATTCTCACTCAATGGAAGGTTTGTCAAAGCAAGCGTAAATCGTCAACCGCTTAAATACGGTAAAGTGAAAGTTTTCATGCAACTTAATGCTCAGAAACATGCATAAGATAACAATAAAGTATTCAGAAAAAACCGGTATCTTTATAGACGAAACAGTAATCAACAACAAATCAAATGAAAACAACTTTATTAGCAAAAAGCTGACGCAACATTTTTGCAACAACAACAAAAAATTTTCCTGTTAATACAATTAAACATTCTTTTTCTTGCGCCATGATGAGCGAGCTGGCGGTTTAAGTGGCTTAAAGGTTTTTGGTGGGCGTCGTTCAAAAGGCAAATCCACCACAACTACTTCGCTCGGTTCTATGGCCGTCAAAAGTCGTTGGTCCGTTTCGCGCTCTCGTTCGGTCGACATGGCACATTCATCCATTCTTTCGGCTCGTTCATCCTTTTCACCTTAAAATATGAAAATCTGACTACATCACTTCAATAATCATTAGAATAAACACTTTCATGCCTATTTTCATAACTGCAAACAAAAAATATAATACCAACTTTTACATTCTTTCCTGTCCCACACATGTTCTCTAGCATTCGTTGAAGATAGATCCGAAAAATATTCGACATCGCCTTGGTCACGTATAGGTGCATCTAAACAGTGAATATTATGCTTCTTTGAAAAGAAACAACGCACCTGCACCTGTTTCACGATCTCGCTCCTTTGATCTATCAATCCAGTTATTTCCACTAGTTGCCGATGTGGAGCGACCTGATGATAATCTCTCGGATTCCCTTGAGGTACGCCGCCGCTTCCTTTCTAAACAACAAATTATGGCATAACACCAAACAAAGACGATGTTTAAACACATATTCACCATTCTTGTGCTTTCTTCCTCGTTCCCTTCCATTCAATCTCTCACGAATGTCATCTCTTCCACCTTAAAATGCGTTCAAAACATCAAGGAAATTTTATGCGCTAACTCACCTTTATCATGCCTTTCACGTTCTCTTTCGTTTGATCTTTCAATCCAATCATCTTTTCTACGAGTCGACACGTTATGCTCTGATGAACGTTCTCTTGAACACGTCGGCTGATCTAAACATTAGTTTATTTTTTAATCTTCAACGAAGCAACTATACTAGCAAGTTTATAAACACCTTTCTCACGCATTTCACGTTCTCGGTCAGTCAACCGATCTGGTCTAAGCGATCCATCATTACGATCACCTAAAGCATTTGTTATAAAAGTTTCATGCTACTGTTTTTACCTTTCACTAGAGTTTAAAAAAAGCAACTCTACTAACAGAAGTCTATACGCACCTTTCTCAAGCATTTCACGTTCTCTGTCAATCAATCGGTCTCGGTCATCCGAATTATCATCACGATCACCTAAAGTATTTGTTATGTCGTTTGTTAAAGTCGTCATGTTACTGTTTTTACTTTTTACTCTAGTTAGGCAAAAATAAAATACGTACCTAAAAGATGCTTTCATTAAAACATATATCATTTTACCAACAATACAAAACTAATGCTTTTAAATAGTGTATAGAATACCAATGAAGTGTGTAGCGTTCATGGCACGTTGAGACGAATGCTTTCTCGGGTCCATAGACGCGACACGATCACCCAACCCTTCGGCGTCTACCGAGATACTCATTGAGACATCTAAATAGTGGATTTTAGCCTGCATTCCAAAAAGGCAACTATTTAACGAGGCAACAAGTTTATAATCACCTTTCTGCGTTTCAAGATCTCGTTCATCCAACTGTTCGCGCCTGTTCAACCTTTGTGTACGATCGTCCTTTCCACCTAAATATGACTTCGTTAATAACTAGGCATAACATAATTGAAGTCTGCTTTTTATTGCAGAAGTTGTTTCTACTGAAATACTTCTGAGAAATACTACAATACTAGCCTACACACTTTTTCCATCAGTTTCCCGTTCTCGTTTGTCCAATCTCTCGCCCTCACTAGCATCCGTTTCACTCATTAACGAGCGTTCTTTCGAAACCATTGGTGCATCTAAAGAAAACTGTACCGAAAAAGCAGCTTTTATACGAACCTTCAGCACGCAGTTCTGATTCGTCCGGGCCATCGAATTCAGTACGCCCATCATCTATATCCATCATCGACACATTCTGATCTAAAAAACGATTGACGATTTGTATATAATAAAAAAAGAGCTTTTTACCTTCAATACGCATATTTTGTGAATTTTCTTGAGTGTTTCGTGATAAACCTAGAAAGATCCATTTTTTTGTACGATGAAAAATCAAACTTCTTTCTGATCGATAGTGAGCATTCATCCCGGATGGACTATTTATGTTTTGACGAAATTCTTCATTGATGTAATCCTTTAGCTGATGATGAAATCCTTGAAGGATTTCGTCGGGGAATGGACGACGGCGTGCCAACATTCTAAACATAATAATTAAAACCTATTGACACTCGATGGTATAATACGTGTTAAAACATTAAATGCACTTTAGCTTTAGCTGGGTCCCAAACGGTTTGAGCTATCTAGCAATTAAGCAGTTCTGACAAATCTATCATATATCATATAACATTGCGCACCGTTGGTCAAGTGTTTCCCGATGCAAACCAAAGAATGAGCGAGGTTGAGCAACAATTAGATGAAAAGCCGATTCAATGTGTGATGGTAGACCCAAATGATTGGCAAGCTCTCCAGGCGGGATTAGATAAATTTGCACGTTTTCCGTTGAAGCACAGAAGCCAATCTAAAAAATTTGATACAATACTTTATCGATAACGAAATACAGTCGACTCTCTATAAAAGAACTCTATATAGCGGAAAGTCCGATATAAAAAAAATGGAATTTTCGTCCCGACCGACGCTAAACTATATAAAACGGCACTATTTATAACGGAAACATTTTTTGGTCCCCTCATTCCGTAATAGAGAGTCGACTGTAAGCTTTGGACTAGGGTAGTCTTTCTTATAAACTTACAACTTGATTTGTGGTCAAGGTTTCAATAAGCGTAGTGAATTGGGGAGAAATTGCCAACGGAGATAATACGGCGTAAGTAACAAACAAGCCGTTGGGTAACTGAAAATAATAGAATTTAATCTATATTTGGAAAAGTACCTGAATCTCTTTGTTATTGATCGTCGCACCAAATTCATTTTGACTCAAGTCCTAAAGTTGATGATGAATTAAAGAATAAACAGTCAAATAACCAATAGTGGTGCCTTTTCAAGGGCCTTCTTCCATCTGACAAAGTCCTTCACGACTAGCGTTGGAGCACTGTAAATCTCTTTATCAAAAGCACTGTAAAAACATTTTACATTCCAAGTGGTTTCCAAGACTCGTCCTTGATTGCTATAAAGTTGACTGCATACATTTCATCCATAATAAAGATTCTTCCAGTGTAGAAAGGAGAATTTGCAAGTTCAAACCTTCGAATGCGTCTAAAAATTGCAAATTCAATATGTAGTCTAAAGAAAACTTACAGCTTTTTATTGGCCCACACTGTAAAATCTACAGCCACATCGACGCAAGCATACGGCAGAATTCCAGCAGGCGCCAGCTCAGTCTCAAGCTCTTTGATACCAAACACGTTGACCTAGAAAAGGAAAAGATTCGATAAAACCATAAGAAAAACCCCAAAAGGTACAATTTCCCCAACTTCTTCGTTAATTTCATACACGTACATCTAAATAGAATAAAATCATGATTATGAGTACCAGTCAAACCAGTTGTTGACGATATAGTTCCAAATAGTCTTGTTTATTCTCGTCATTTCCTGTTGGCTTTGCCATATGACAACCATAACCAAAAGTCGGCTTCAAATTCTTTGAGTCTGGTTCAACCTAAAAACTTTTTAATATTAAAAATGATAAATAATCAAACCATATTTACTTTTCCCTTCAATATTTTGCATATTACGACTCGAATCACGTATGACCTTGGTATCCCCATCTTGGTACTGACCAAGAAACTCTGTGGGCCCACCAAATCAACATTGGTCGAGAGATAAACACCTAAAGTCATGTAATAAAGCAAAAGCTTCTAAAGTTACCATTTTCACTGTCGCCCAAATGATCATTGAGCGATGTACCAACAGGTACACCATGTTCGGCAATATGTGTAAGCTAAATAAACTTATTCTAAAGCAAGATTCGATAAAACCTCTCCAATTGACTTAGAGATCTGCAAAAAAGCAATGTCTTCTTTGTCTGGCTGCCCACTGGCTTTTAGTCTTTTGCGGTATTCCGCATACTAAACAAGTTCAATTATGATATCAACGGAAAAAAAACTTACTCGATAGTTGAGCCAAGGATTGTTTAGTAGATTAGCTCCGTGGATTGCAAGTCGAACATTTGGGTCAAAGCAATTAGTGTGTAGAATTTCATGTAGTTTTGCAAATGGCGGATTGTTTGGATGAACATTTTGCCATATTGGTCGCGATTCTGGCTCCGGTACTGGTGCTAAAATGAAAATGTTGATAATGCAAAATATTTCACAACGCCAAACAAAAATTGAATAGTCAAGTTTCCATTTCATTTACGCAAAGTATAGCGACAACTTTTTGGAAAAGTCTCTGGGAAATGTCAAAACTGGCAAGTGTTATATGGAGAATTGTAGTCCTAATTCTCGACAACATTTATCTACCAAAAACTTCTCAATTCGACATATAAAACTCTTGGATAAGCGCTAGTCCGGCGAATCTGTCATTATCCCGCTTTCAACTGTTTTGGCTGAACTGATATAACCAAAATTTAAGTTGATGCCAAGCTTTTTTGGCGGCGCAGAGAAAAAGATGAAAATTGAGCATGTTTTCGATGTTCAGTTCGTTATATCAGCTTTTCTGGCGCTATAAATTTGTTGCAAACAATGTTTTTGAACAAAATTACCACAAATTTGACTAAAAAAAACTTCTGAATTAAATTTATCATTTAGAGAAGCGGTTAAATGACAGATTCACCGGAGAAACGTCGACTAGCGCTCATTAAAGCGTTTCTTAAATGAGTTGTATAAGTTCAATCCGGAAGTTTTTAGTAGATAAATGTAGCCAAGATTAAGAGCTACAATTCTCTATATAACACTTTGCACTTTTAAAATAAATTAGACATTTCCTAGATACTTTTCCAAAAAGTTGTCGCTATACTTTGCGGTCATCCTGTACTAATGAGTGTTTGGTATCAAAATGAAGCTTAGACCATTGCCTACTCATTCAAACGTGTTGGATAAAATGTTGAGCTCTGCTTTTGCAGGATCTTGAAGCAACATAATAGTACAGATACCAACTATTGCTTCCCAAACTAACACCTTACCTCGTACTGGCGGCGGCGTTTCACCGTCTTTTCTTTTCTTCTTCGGTATCGAGAAACTCGTCGGTGCGGCAAGCGTTATCTTCTCCATGATGATCTAAATTTAAAGAAATTATATCAAAACGGTAAAGTCATGAAAACTCAATGGAAATAGCAATAAAACGGGGAAATACGTAAATTTCAAGTGACAAGCGATTAACAACAATGTGATGAACTTATGAGAAGAATGATCGTAAGTAAACTTCTACAGATGGGCTAGGACCATTGTTAGAAAGGAAAGCTTGTCAAAATGTCAAAATTTCGATTCTACGCCCTAAAATTACCTAGAAAAACAACTTTTGGAATAGAAATTGGTTAATATTAGCTTTTTAGAGCTTTTTTTAAAACGCGAAAAAAGGTGCGCTAATGGGCTAAGTGCGGAAAAAAAGGTGCGCAAATGTCCGGGTGTCCGCAAATTTTGCCCGCTCGAAAAATGCATTTCCGGGACTGTATTTTAACTCTAACGTTTTTTTTAAAACTTTAACGACGATGCGCTTCTCCGATATTTGTGCGTCAAGAAATCGACGGCAATCGAAATTTGCTCCCCCGATTTTCCTTTCGCTCCCCCGATAATCGAACCGCTACCCTGATATTGGAAAAGAACCGTAAACTTCTATAGATGGGCTAGGACCATTGTTAGAAAGGAAAGCTTTTAGATTTGAAGTTTACAAAATTTAGTCATCAACTTTTAGAGGTTTGATATCAAGTTCCCGATTTTGTTTCACCAAGAACAGCTATTCGAGTGGAAAACGCAAAGATGAGCCAAATCAAAGCTTTGATTGCTGAACAACGCTACCGTAATGCCTGTAATGATAAGGCCCTTTGGCTGAATAACTTAATCCCTACGCTTCCCTATTTTTGCTTTCTAGCTTGCAACTACAACATTTCCATCAAATTCTTCTCCGTTTTACTGCTTTTCTAGCATTTCTTATTCGTTTTCTTTGATAATTTTATTTTTCTGGGGGAGTGGGACAAATGCGACCTTTTTTTGCGCACCCGGACATTTGCGCACCTTTTTTTCCGCACCTTGCCCATTAGCGCACCTTTTTTCGCGTTTTAAAAGCTCTAAAAGCTAATATTAACCAATTTCTATTCCAAAAGTTGTTTTTCTAGGTAATTTTAGGGCGTAGAATCGAAATTTTGACATATTAGAGCTTGTGGAAACAAACGGACGGAGTTATACAAAGAGAAAAATCGACAATTTTCTGTAATTTGATCTAGCCGTTTTGTCTTTCAAAGACAAAACGTTTTGTCGTTTTGTCTGGTTCCACACGCTCTGTTATGTCAAAATTTGAATTCGACACCCTAAAATTACCTAGAAAAACAACTTTTGGAATAGAAATTGGTTAATATTAGCTTTTAGAGCGCGCGAATGGGATTTGGGCGACAGTGAAAATGGTAACTTTAGAAGCTTTTGCTTTATTACATGACTTTAGGTGTTTATCTCTCGACCAATGTTGATTTGGTGGGCCCACAGAGTTTCTTGGTCAGTACCAAGATGGGGATACCAAGATCATACGTGATTCGAGTTGTGATATGCAAAATATTGAAGGGAAAAGTAAATATGGTTATTTGAAGAGAAATATGAGGAGGAAGAACAAGGAGAATTGAAACAATAAGGAGAAGCTGTTAAATGGAAAATGGAGGGGATTTGATCGATTTGATTCGATTTGATAAAAAGCTGCTAACAAATGCTAACAAATCGACGCTAAATAAATCTGCATTGCTGTAAAGATTTTGGTATTTTAAAGAACTCCTTATTGTTTCAATTCTCCTTGTTCTTCCTCCTCAAATGATTGAAACGAATTTTGTATTGTACAAATTTTATATTTCAAATTTGAAGCCAAACATCGGCCCTGGTTGCCAATTTTCTCCAATTAGTTGACTCCAAAAATACTCTACCCCAAAATCATCTATTTTTACAGCAGACAGGTAATTTATTGGTATAAAAACTCCCCCAGAACCGTCAAAAAAGATTTATTGACACTAAAATTGTCAAAATTGCCAAAATTTTTGTGTTTCCTTGCGCGTTTGGCAACAAAGATTGAAATGAATTTACATTTACATTCAAAATTTACAGAAATGAATTCAAATGATCCATTCGATGATCTTTTTTTAACTACATCAACTCAACCGGATTATTCTGAATATGCATATGAATATGCATATTCAGAATAATAATTCAGAATTGGGGGTCTATTTTGTTGCGTAAAATATGATCATCAGTACAAAAGCTAGTACCGATAGAGATTTTTATGCAACTTCTAAACTTGCCGGCATAGAATACCTCACCACAGTCTAGTATTAACTGGTCCAGGTCAGTCCAAGCAAAGCCAGGTCAGTCCAGGGCCAGGCCAGTCCAAGCAAAGCCAGAGCCAAAGCCAGAGGCCAGACCAGGCCAAGACCTGGTTTTTGACCGGTGTGGCCCTGCCAGACTTACTTTCCCATAGTCATTCAGTCATTTTTCCTTTTCCCAAAGTATTTGTGCTTATCAATTTCCTTGCCAGTTAGCAATTTAACAAACGCATAGGATTCTTGCTTGCTTGACGCATAGAATTCTTGTTTGCTCGCTGTACCATCCACTTTTTCCTCATCGCAATCGGAAACTCAAAAAGAACACTGTTTCTCTCTGAAACAAACCGTTTCCTAACCGTAGCCTTTTAGGAAAGGCTATCGTAATCCCGTTGTAAAAAGAAAGCTGCTATAATCGGAACTATGAAAGCTTTTTCAAAGCAAATCTTTTAGTGTGGCATTTTGGGGATTTTTGTGAATTTGTTTTGTCTCCGGATTGTTCTCAAAAATCCGCATATCTCAAAAGCGATCAAATTCTATCTTTTCCTTGATGCCTATTGTCGTTTGAATGAATCGTGGACGTTTTTCTATAAAATATACTGTGTGATTACGTGAGTTTGAAAGCTGGATAGCTTTTGGGGAAGGTATTTAGCTGAATAGCTTTTGGAAGCTGAAGATCTTTTGAAAGCCGGATAGCTTTTGGAAGCTGAAGATCCTTTGGAAAGCTGGATATCTTTTGGAAGCTGAATATCTTTCGAAAGCTGAATATCTTTTGAAGCTGAATACCTTTTGGAAGCTGAATATCCTTTGAAAGCTGGATATCTTTTGAAAGACATTCAGCTTTCGAAGGATATTCAGCTTCTTTTGAAAGATATTCAGTTGGGAATGCGTGAACCCTGTTGGTTCACCGATATCTGGATTGATGTTGAATATGATCATCACTGCTTTCTATTATGGAATGATCTATTCAATGCAAATGATTGGGAATGGACTGTGCATGAATAGGTAAAAAAAGGAGACCCATGCATGGATTGAGTACATAGCCATGTACTCAAGGCTATACACAGCTCGTTCTGAATATTTGTATTGTAATCAGATAATAAATCAACACTACAACTAGTGTATTTCTCCACAACAACTTAGTTGTAGAGAGAGTTTCCCTTTAATCTCGTTTACTTACCTTACTTATCTCCTTTACTTACCGTAATCCTGGCTGCTTTTTCTAAGCTTCCTCTTTTCTTTAGAATCTTTGCCGTTTTCTTCGATGGTCTTCACTATTCAAAAATCGAGCGTATCGCTCCTTTTCATGGTTTTATCCTTTGGGCAATCCCAATCGGGGTTTATTGCTTTCAGATTGGGCCAGGTGATTGAAAAAGGGAAATGCTGGATGTCACGTGGGATCCTGGAAATGGATAAATGGATAAAGATCAATTCTGGATTCCAGAATAAAGATAAATCCTAAATTCCAGGATAAAGATAAATCCTGGATGTCACATGAAATTTTAGTTCACAATTCGAAGACTGATTACACATGTTATGGTGGATGGTATTTCTCGCCTCTTTCCCTTTGTGTTTTTAATGGATATGTCTGGGGATGGACATCTTATTTCTTGATATTTCATTTTGATGAGATTATGATCGGGATCCTTGTCATTACTGCAATTCTTGATAGGCTCACGTTGTGGAAAGTGAGAAAAGTGGTGAGGGAAACGAGTCAGATAAAGCTGTGAACTGAATTTTGTGTATTGTGCATTAAACGTCTTCAGTAAACGCCTTAAACGCCGTCAGGAAACGCCTTCGCCTTAAGAGCCTTCGCCTTAAACGCCTTTACTGGTCTAAAGTGTGAAATCTGAAACTGATCTAGAAATGCTGTAGCTTGACCATCTACCTTTTCAAGGTCAATACAAAATCTGGCTTGAGCTATCATAGTGGATAAGTCGATACAGATCAGTAGTCGATACAGATCACTACTATAAGATAGTACGTACAGTGCGGTGATATTATCTAAGACTAATCTGGGCTGCAATAAAAGTCAGAGCAAGGCCAGAAGTTAAGCCAGGATTTGGCCTTGAAACAAGCGAAGCAGGAAACCGTTTGAAATCTACTAGATATAATTGAGCTGTCTGTCCGTCCGTCCGTGCGTTCGTTACCTTAAGTACTTACTGTTTGGCGAAAAAGTTTGAAGGCTATCTTGAAAATGGCTGATAGGCTGATAGACTGATATTCTAGAGTTGTCCTAGAGCATCTAGAAGAACTCTAGATTGATAACTGATCCCAAAACTGCTTTCAAATCCAACTTATGTACTCTAGAACAACTCTAGAGTTAACTCCATCACGAGTAAAGGAGTTTAAGCGCATTTTGGTGTAATGGTTAGCAGATTTGGTTGGGAAGGGAGTGCTGGTTCAAATGCCGGCTCTCTTCTGTTCTTTTCTATCTTTTAATCTATTCCAAATCTTGTGACGATCAATTCCAAGTCTTAAATCAATTCAACAAACATTTCCCCTTAATTTCAGACTCGATTTTCGCTCTTGAAAAGACGCGCCGACATCCGTCTATCGATTATGGTATTTGAAGATAGGAAAACTCGGAGGATTTCTTTATTTTTCAGCTTTTAACAACACATTCTGTTACAATTTGTTATCTCTTGGGAAATTGGGTGATGAACAATTTAGTTTTACTCGATTTCACACCAATCTTTCGATATCTTATCCTCGAAATCTATCCATTTCTCCTTCATTGTTTACTCGGGTAAGAGAAAG